CGCGGTCTCGACTGGCGTAAACGCATACTTTCTGTCAGGTTTTTCCCGATAATACCAGCCCATCTCGAAGAAATCGATGACAACATGGGCGGACACAAGGAAGTCCATCCCTAGGATGAAGTCCTCGGAAAGGTTTCTCAACACGTATGGTTGGAGGTGAGTTAGTCGGTCCCGGAGTTCAACGTGGCAGTCAAAGGCGAGTTGAGCCACCTCGATATTACCTCCAGCAGTCACGACTGACTTTGCTGGGACTGTCCCGGGGAATATACCGACTTCTCCTAATAACCTCTCCGCAGCCACGCCTGCGAAGGATCGACTAGCACCGGAATCAACTAAGGCTCTAATTTTCACACCGTGGATAACGATATCCACGTGGAATGCTCGCGGAATACCACCCTCCCGTAACTTTAAAATGGTACGGGGATTACACGTTGCCTCATCTAAGCCTGGGCCTGATGGATAATTGGCCTCACCAGGGCGTAGGCCCGATGGAGAAACTGCCTCACCTTCAGACGGGCTTCTCTCCTCGTCTGAATGTGGAAAAATTTTGTCTTCACCCTTTAAATGGGGCGATTCACTGACCTGCGGGTTCAGGAGAGCCTCAGGGGACATATCCGACCTTATGCCCCTGGATTCGCGTTTCCCGGGCTGCAGTACGGGCAGTGCGACGTGGTGACTCCCGAATAACTGCAACGGTAGCAGAAGACACGTCTGGGACTGGGGCAATCTCGGTGTCGATGATCTTGTTGATGACAGTTCCAGCATCCTGAAGGTCTGGAGCCGGCCGTGGGCGCTGGAGGCGCCGCTGCTGGAGTCAGTGCTGGCCTTGCAGCTGCTGGAGGCTCGGCCCGTGGTGGCCGTCTGGCTGGACTGCTTGCCCTCTCTCGCGATGGCGTCCTTGGCCTGCGTCTCTGCCGTTCTTGCGAGTAGTCCCTATCTCGGGATGGGGTGCGTTCGCGGGGTTGACGTGAGGCGGTGGTCAAGGCAGCGATAGCCTCGAGGAGACTCCTATCCCGCACTGGAGTCCTGTCCCGAACTTCCCGTCGATCGGGAGATAAATCAAATGAGATCGTGCGGGCCGAGTTAAACCTCGGAAGATAGCCACCAGCTCCGGCTGGGGAATGAGTTCGTCGGCCAAAGGACCTCGATGATTCGCGAGGGCGAAACGCGAGGCTCGGACACACCGAATTCTCCGGTTTCGGTGGAGGCCGCCGTTCCTCATTACTCTTGAGGATTTTCTCTACTCGAAGAGCCGACGTTTCGAGCTCATCGAGGGACATTTCCTCCCGGAAGGGGATCACCAGCTGGTAGGCGGGAAGAAGTTTGCGATAAATTTCCGCCACCTGTTCTCCGATAGACCAGGGGGGACTTAGCCTCGAGAAGTATCCTCGCATGCACGCGATGTAACTGCCTACGAGTTCGCCCTCCGCTTGAGTGCGACGACTAATCTCATCCCGGAGAGCTCCCTGGTAGTTGGGATGCGCGAAGTGTTGTCGAAAAGCTGCTCGAGCTTCCAGCCAGGTCTGGAACTCGTGATAACGCCCGCGATACCACACGAGCGCGCTTCCTTCCAAGCAGAACAGGAGTGCGTGGAGGAGATCTCCGTCTTTCATGGGGATGAACGATCGGCCTTCGTCCACCCGTGCGAGGAACAACTCCACGTCTTCGTGGGACGCGCCTGTGAAACGAAGGTTCCATTTTCGCATGTGCTGCAGAAGCGCAGCGCGAGATACCGGGCGCTCTCCGTAGGCGTCGAACCCGTCATCATGATAGGCGTGTTCACGATACGGTTCATGATGCGGTAGCTCAGCTGGGATACCATATCGAGGTTGGCCAGCTGAGAGGTCTCTCCCATAGGGAGGAATAAACTGAGCGAAGGCCGCTGTACGGGCCTGTGCGGCTGCCGAGGGTCCGCCGACATTCGGGATGCCTCCATGGGTAGCGGTCGTGATGACCGTTGGAGCTACCCCTGGGATAAATCTACCCGTCGAGGTGAGTTGTGCCCACGTCTCCGCATAGCGGGAATTGTCTACGTCCGCCACACCCACG